ATATGTCCCTTTTTTTCTTGATGGTATCAAAGCTTCTTGCCCATTAAAAGATTCTAAGTTATCTTACATTTTCTTTTAGTGCTTTTATAATTTAAACTTTCCTATTTTTACTTTTAATTCTTTTAGAATTTTTGTTTATGTAAAGTAGAGAGCAATTTTCCCCCTAACTAGATAGTCAATTGACTATCATTTGCTAAATAATCTTTTTCTCCCTTCACTGATTAGAAATGCCACCTTCACTATCTACTAAATTCCCAGAAACCTGTCAATCTCTCTTTATTTTGCTTCAACACCTATTTGCTTTATTCCTCTGCCAGTGGCACACTGATCTAATTATTGACACTTTATAGTACATTCACTTTTTGACAGAGGAACATTTTTCTTTTTCAAGATTTTTTTTTACTATATACATGCATCATTTTCTCAGATCAATTTTTCTCGGGTTCCCGGTCACCACCCCCCCCCCAAAAAAAAACCCACTGAGTTTCTTTTGAACCAGAATTCCATTAAATATATACACAAAAATGGGGGGAAAAGATCCTCACAATATTGAGATTCCCATCCAGTAATAAACAGATACTATAGAAAGTCCCCCTACACACACACAGACATAGACACAAACTCATATACAATCTTTTATGTTGACTCTGACCAGTATTCTGGCCCCAAATGAATGATTTTCCTTATTTGTAAAATAACACTTACACTCCTAAATCACAACATTTTAGAGCTAGAGGGACATTACAGACCACTTAGTCCAACACCTCTTGTAATCCCAGTCATATTTACCTCAAGTCTACTGAGGAGAATAATTTCAAAATTAATTTCCCTTCAACATGCAACACAATCATAAAAGTGCTATTTGAATCACATTAAAAGGCAAAGAAGTTGGCCACAATACCAAAGAATACTTTGAGTTTAGGAATCCTTTTAGAATGAGATCCATGCTTAGGGTCAAAGAAAAAAACCCTGAGTATGATAAGTGCATACACTTGAGATAAACCCAAGTACTGTGTTTAGACACTCATGTTTCCAAGGTAAAGGTGTTTTGTTATGGTATTGTCCAGGAACCAAGTTTCACATTATCAAAGCATTCCATTCCCAATTGTTCCAACATAGTAAGAACACAAATCCAATAACAATCTCCAAATGGAATAAGCCTGAAACCCAATTCTAAAAGCGCTTCTCAAGCCTGGCTGACCATCTGAATACCTGTGGAGCTTCTAAAAATAAGACTGCTTGGGTCTCACCTTGGGATTCTTCCTCAGCAGGTCCAGCAATGCTCAGGCATTTTTTTTTTTTTAATGTTGTAGTAGGTTCTATTCTCAGCCTGAATTAAGAACCACTATTCTAAAATATTCAACAAGAATAAACCTCCATAATTTTCTAAGTATCCCTACACTTGGGGGTAAGGGGAAGTGGACAATTTATAGAAGCATCTTCACCAATATTTGCTGCTGATTACAGAGAGCTATGTCCCTATGTTATACCACAGTCTTGAAGTGGAAAAAAAGCTAAAATAAAGCTTTAGATTGTTCACAGGTTGATGACCCCATTATGGTAGGTGAACCATTTTTCCCTTTTTTTAGTCCCTTGAAGGCAACCCTTTACTCCACCTCATCTCCCAAGGTAAAGAAGAGCTGAAGTTCACTTTTAAAGTGGCAGAAAGAATTAATACTTTAAGAAAAATCTTTGAAACATACCCATAAAAATAAGTACATAAAAAGGAAAGTTAATGACTGGACTGCAACATCCTGACACTCCGTGACATTTTAGTCAAAGACACTGTGCTCCTTGACTGCAGTGAACGCCAGCACACCAAGCACTCTCTAAAGGCAGCATAAAAGCAAAGAAAGGCTGACACACTGAAGGGAAAAACCCGACACACAAAAATGCGATGTGCAAACCTGTTCCTAAGCTGTAACCGTCCAAGAAAATGATCTCACTTTCTATTAACAACACGTTGTACTAAACTGTGAAGCCTGGTATAACTCCTGTTCCTGGTATGAGTGACTCACAGACCCGCTATCCCTGGGAAAAACACCTGAAAAATAGAGCGCATAGAGCTAGACAGAAAGCTCCACATTAAGTAATTAGTGATGGTAAAGCATGCATTAAACAGACTTTAATCACAAGGTTCATGAAACAGTCATCCTACAGGTAACTATCCTTCCATGCTTCCATGTTTTGGCCCAACCAAAAACATTTTTTCACATTCTAGGGAGTCATCTGATGAAAGAGATGGCAAGTGTTTTCCATCTTGACAGGAAAGGCAACATGCACAGAAATTCACCACTTTACTGTCAAAAAGACCTAATTTTTCTTAAATAAGCACTGTCTTTGGTCCACGCAAGAGTCAAATAATTTTACAATAATTTTACATTAAAAAAAAAAAGCAAGTGAAGACAAGTTTCATGGTTTAATGCAATCAGTTTTGACAACCTCACCAACATCTTTTCTTGGGAATTTAGCCCAAATCAAATACTTAGATCTTAGCCTTTAAGTCACATGACCACATGAAGTACATAAAATTTAAGGAGCAAACATGACTCAGAGAACAACTGTAACCCAAAAGATCTGCAAAAAAGCTGAGATGATGTATGTTTATAAACATGACAAGCTTGCCAAGAGATTAAAGCTAAAAAAGAATAAACACCTTTCTCCAAAGCTTTTACTTATGAATGATTTCCATGCAAGCCACGTGCCTACCATGTGTTAAAGAAAGACCCTTCTCCTGGAGTATTTCAAGCAAAACAAGAAAAAAAAAAACAAAAAACTAGAAAAATCCTTCCTCAGTAAGTATTTCAGTTGAAGTACAGTATTAATACATTAGAATAAATAACTTAGCTGAATTAGCATGTCTTTTAGTATCAACTTTATAAAACATTCAGACATATATCCTAATCTTGAAAAAAGAACAAAAAACTCAGACATAGTAAATCACAGATACCTTTCAAAAAAAAAGTCCACAACCTGAACTTTTACTCTGTCAAATACAATTAAGGTTTAGGTAAATGGGCCAGGTTGGGGGGATTATTCTGGCTAAAAAATTTGTGAAACAGAACTCCAGTTTTAGTATGTTCCAAAAGCTTACTACTAAGAAATACCTAGGATGGATTACATTAGAAACAATTTTCTCAGGAATCTGAACCTGACACCAAGGTTTTGACTGCCCACATCTCCAGGTCTAAAACCTGGAGAGATAGGTAACTTAGCTTATTCGATACAAGCCTACTTATTAATTACATGCTGTTAAACTTTATTACTATTTCAAAAACCTCTCCCTATACTTTTTGTCTCTCTTGCCTTCATTCCTTTGCATGTCACCAACCTACAAGAAACCAAAAACAGTATCCCCCATACCAAACATACTCTTCGATTCAGTACGGATTGGGATGTTTTCAGAGCTAGACTTCCAATTTAAAACATACTTCAAAGTTTTCCTTGATCCCCAAATTTGGCTCATAATAGCTAAAAGTTAATCAGCACCCCCCCCCCCCATTTTTACTCCCTTTTCCTATAGACCTATCAGCAGGAAACAAATTATCTGCAGACAGGGCTGGGAAAAAAAGTTGCTTCTTCAACCTAGGAACACAAGACCAGGAAAACCACTCACAAGATCAGGAAAACTCCAATCCTGAATTTGCATGTAAATTCTGGAGGACAAAAGTCTCACATTGTGATTCGACTTAATTCAATTCCATGCTTTCTGAAACGTTTGTATTTAAAATTCTGAATAGCGACCTAGACAATTCAAAAGACAACGAACTTTATTTCAGTTAACCTAGGTACATCTCAGTAAACTGAAAAATCTGAGCACCTAAAATCTCCTCCTAGGCATAGGTGCCTGAGCAATCTAGGCAAAATGTCTTCTCACAGAAGCAATGTACCTGAAGAGCTTCCTATAATTTCTCTTCAGGAAGGTTTTTTTCTCTTGCAAATACTCTCATCCACAACTCAAGTGTTTCCAAAATACACTCACTGATTTAAGTTGAAGGACGCAGATTTACCAAGGTTTTTATAAGATCATTGCCTTAGTTTAGCCAGTTAACGCTGTCAAAAAAAAAGGGGGGGGGGGATCTGCAAGTGGTTTTTGAAGGATTTACCTGGCACACGGGAAATGTACAAGCGGGGGAAGGCCCCCTAAGCCAAGCTTGGGGCTTGTGCAAACATAAATCACCTGCGTACTGCCCTGGCTACCAAAACCAACATTCCACCAGGGTGTGTATCCAGGTGGCTGAGTGATTTTCTGCAAGTGAGAATTAAAAACGCTTACACCCATCACATACTATACAATTTTACCTGTTACTAAAAAAAGGGCACGTCTAATTCAGCCCCCAAAACCCCCCAAAAAAGTCCTTTTTCCTTCAAGGAGAGCAGCAGTTTGTAGTCATTTGCAAGGCACGGGATTGCAGGAAAGGAGGAGGGGGCGTGGAATGGAGGGGGGCCAAAAGAAGAGCCAGCCAGGGGGTTTGCACAGGGCCCCCACACAGGCCACTGCGGAGAGAAGATGGGGAAAAGAGGGGAGGATGTCTCACCGGGGGACAAAACCGAGTGCAAACTGGCTGGAAGAAGGAAGGTTCCCCCCCAGGAGGCGAGCTGGAGTGCAGATAAAAAGCGCTAGCGGCTGGTTACCTTGGGATACAGGGCAAAGGGACCCCGGGAATATGAGAGGTCTACGGAAATAAGAGGGGAGAGAAAGGGTGAGGCAGGGTCTCCGCTAAGTGCGAACCAGGGATGGAGACAAACAGCCGGACTTGGGCCTCCCCGGGCCAAAAGGCGTGGCCAGGGATCCAGACCGAACGATGGTCTACTTGAGACGCCAAGGGAAGTGCGTGGCAAACCCCTCCTTCAAGACCCCCGGGCCAAGGCCCGTCCGAGGAGCCCACCTGCGGGGCACCTCGGGGCAGAGCGCACTCTGGAGGGCTCGGCCTCGCCCGCGGGGCCCTCTGCAGGGCTGGCTGGCCAGGCCCCCGCCCCCACCCCCGCAGTGCTCTTACCTCCACACCTGCCCCATCTGCAGCAGGTGGATGACCGACTGCCAGATCCACACGGAGAGGCGGCAGAGGCGCTGCGCCCCCGGCGTGGCCGTGGCCCCCGCGCCGTGACCGTAGCCGGCCCCCATCATGGGGGGGCCCCGGCTGCTGAGCCCCTCCACGGCGCCCAGCCCGCCGCCCGTGTAGTCCTGCACGAACCAGCGGAAGCTCAGGCTCTGCACCAGCAGCGACGGCACCAGCACGAAGAAGAGGGTCAGCCCGAAGTAGCCGTAGTCCCCCTTGCGGTAGTAGTCGAGGGCCAGCCACAGGTCGGTGCCCACGTCCCCGAAGAAGACCAGTAGCGCCAGCACGATCCACAGGCAGTCGAGCCACGGCCGCTCCACCTGCGGCGGCTGCGGCCGCTCGGCCGAGGGCGTCGGGGGTTGGCGACCGGCGGCCGCGGGCGGCTGCAGCGGCTGGTCCCCCCCGTCGGCGGCGGCGGCGCTGCGGCGCGGCTTCTTGCCCAGGAGGGAGCGCAGGCAGGCGGAGCGGCAGCCCCAGTAGCACGAGGAGGTGTTGCAGCAGTGGCAGATGTGCAGCGAGCTGCTCTCGCCGGGTTCGCTGCCGTCGCCGCCGCCGCCGCAGCCGCCTCCCCCGGGCTCCCCGTCCTCCTCGCCGCCGCTGCCCACCGCCTCGTCCAGGTTGTGCAGCTGGGCGAAGCCCACCCCCACGCCACCGCCATCGGATTTCGCCGCCATCTTGACTCTCTTCCCAGCTCCGGAGGTTGGGGGGGGAGGGACGGGGGGGGGTAAGAAGGCAGGGAACGGGGAGGGGGGGGAAACGAATGGAGAGGAAGGGGGGCGGGGAGGAAGCGGGGGAGCAAACGAACGAGGGGGGAGTGGGCCAGGGAACCCCCTCCGCTTCCGGGTAGTTGGCGTCACTTCCGGGCGAGCCCCCCAATCGCACGGCGCCCGCAGCTCCCCAGCCCTACCCTCCCGGCCAAGATGGCCGCCCTCCTGTGCCTCAGCTGCTTGGCGGGGGACCGGGGGGTTCACCCCGCCAGGGCTCCCCTTCCCCTCTTCCGTTGACCCCGAAACCCATCAGGTTGACCCCTCGGCGTTTCTGAATCCCGCTGGGCCGAGTAAGGCGGTCCAAAGTGATCCCTGGAGGGGGCAGTGCCAGACGTTTTGGGGTCCCCTTCCTCAGCGTCGCAGCTCTCAGCTTTCCTCCTGGAGAAACGCCCCCTAACACCCTCCCGGCTGCTGGCGGAGGGGCGGGACCTCTGAGGGAAGGGGCGGAGCTAGTGCAAAGCAGGTGATTACGTGTCACTTCCGGGAGATAGGATGACCTCATTGTGTAGTTAGACAACCCACCCCCCATCAAAATGGCTGTGTCTCACCTCTTTGGCTGTTTTTCCCCCCCCCTTTTTGATGTTTTTCTTTTAAATTTATCTCCTGTTCTTCTCTTATTTTGAGGGTCTTAAGAAATTATATGTCAGTTTAGGTTCCCACTCACAACTTATTGACTCTCACTTCCATATAGACAACTCCCTCCTCTTTTACCTCTGTTGACCCCGACTTTCTTGTCTCTGATAACTTCCATCTTTTGCAATAAACTTCCCACCATTCCCTCAAGAAAAATGCAGGCAAAATCCAGTTAAAAATCAGCTTAACTGCATCTTTAAAACTAGAGCATAGAGACTGGATTGGCATATTGTGACCTTGAGTGTATTTTCTTCACTATTAAAATGTGTTTCTACCAACTTTTTTTTAAAAGTATGCAGTTTTCTCAATTCTGTGACCTTAATTTGGAAAATTCAAAACTAGCCAGGGTTTAAGCTGTTTCAATTACTTGTTCAAGGTTTTGGATGTGTGAAAATTGCCTCCTAGAATTTTGGGGGTGCTAAGCCTCTGTCAATAAATATGGCTTTAAATAAGTGAAAATATTATCAATGTGCTAAATCATTAAAATAGGTGCAAGGTACACTACTTAATCTTAACAATTTACGAAAGTGAAGCAGCACTGAATGGATTTGAATTACAGTGATCTTATAGTGAAAGTATATCAGAAGCCAGATAGAGCAAGCTGCATGGTCACAGCTGTTACTGGTCAGGTGAGAGGAACATTTTGGAGTTAAAAGAAAAAAAATTTCTAACTGTGAATTTTCTCCTTGACGTCTCTGGATTTTTGTGGTCTTTTTTTGATTCTACATCTCCGTTCAGAAAAACCTAATGATGCCAATAATTTTCTTTGGAATATAGAGGACAAACTAGGTAATATTTATATGGCATTGAGGTTTTATGGAAGAAAAATGCCTTTGAAAATTTCAGTACCCTTATTTTGAGATATAATGTTTAACACCAAAGTTCCTACTTAAGTTTTGGAGGTGACAGAGCAAGGTGAGTGTTCTGTATGTTAGTTCACAATTTTTCATGGGTATTTATGCAAAGGTAAAACCTGTAAGGACTTTACAGAAAGTAGTAGTAAAGAATTTTTACATCTGCCATTTGGGGAGAAGTAATACAAAATCTGCTTTTGGAAACAAGTCGCATAAGGGTATCCTTTTATTTCACACTATGATTTAAGCCTCCTTGCTCATAGGGGAGTAAAACTTATAGACAATGGGTAAGGATTATTTCTTTATATAGTTGAGATTTTGTTTCTTTACTGAATTTTATTTAATAATACCTTTAAAAGATGGTGTGGGTATAGAATAGGACTGCCCAGGGTTGGATCCCAGTTCCACTAAAATAATACATGAATGATGTGAGCAAGATAGCTAACCTCTTTAAACCCCAGTTTCCTCCATTATATAATGGGAATGTACCAGTGCCCTCTTTGAGAAGTTGTTGGGCAGTTTAAAGATGGTAATCTATTTAAAGCTCTCAACACAATATACCTGATGCGTAGTAAGCATTGGATGAATGGTAACTATTTGTTATGTTCACATATACCAACATATAGTTACTTAAATTCTATGAGCCAGTAGATTTGGTATCTCTAATATAAATGAAGACATTTGCAATGCTTCTAGGAAATTGATGCAATTGATTTGTTTTTAAATATATTTTCTCTATTTGAGCCTGTGAAGTTGTGAAATGAGATACAAAAGCAAAAAGCAATGACATATTTATGATTTCTATTTCTCTGTGCCCTGGAAGAACATAATCTACTAGTGAAATTAGCTAAGTAAATTATATTCACTATATTAAGCTGACAAATAGGACTAAGTCAAAAGGGCTTATCACAGTTGAAGTTTCAAGTAGATATTTAAAGATCCACGGACTTTCAAGTGATTTCAACTTTACATTTGCTGTTTCAACAATTTTATCATTCTGCCTTCTTTGGAGGGGATACTATGTAGAACCCAGGAGGTTCTAAAATTAAAATCTGTGATAAGGAACCTATCATGAAGACTCACTAAAAGGTTAATATAAAGTTGGACTGTGCCATGAATGGTACTTTTTTATGTAGGATTTTGGGGCAATTAGGTGTCCAAGCAAATCCAGCAGTCAGCACAGTGCTGAACACATAGTGAGCACTCAATAAATATTGGTTAAATGAGTAAATTATTTTTCAGATAACTGAAATTTACCCTTTCAAGTGCTTCCCATTGTATTATTTTACATTTTAAGATGTAAATCTTCATAAAACTCAATTGATATATTACAACAATACCTCAATTTTTTAGTAAACAAGAGATAGGGAAGGGAATAAAAGAAATAAATAAAAGAAATGTATTGTCCACTGGTCTGCTTTCCTAACAGCACAAGTTAACTCTTTCTTGATGACTTAACCTTAAGGCAGCCTTATGCTAAGAGGCTCTGACTATTTGTGGACTTGCCAAGGAGCCACCCTCCTACTGGTAAGCCACCAGACCTACTGATCACTTTTGTTGTTATTGTTGTTTCCAAATAATTTTTTAAGCTCTACTGTTCATCCTTCAGTCAGTTAACAAGTGTAGCCCCTGTTCTATCCACTCTGATATAGGCTGGGAAGCCAAACCACAAAGGGTGTTGGAATAACACATGAATAATAATAAATAGATTTTTAGAGACTCTTCTATAAGTAAAGTAAGACAGATATAGTACATAGAAATTGTGGCATACATTTTGGGCTGTTCAGAGAGAACTTTGGGGATTTTTGTCCCAACTCTCTTATTTTCAGAAAGGCAAAGAGGGGAAAGTTAGTGTTGAATGCTATTGTGTATCAGTCACTGTCCCAAACGTAATTCCATTTAATCTCACAACAGTCCAAAATGGCATGGCCATTAGTATCACCATTTTAATGGTCTAGAAGACAGTCTTGAATCAGCCTAATGACATCCAGAATCATACCTGTAGGAGGTAGGGTGGCCTAGATTAGAATCCAAAACCTATTAATAAATTACTTGAAAGTGAAAGTTAGTCGTGTCCAACTTTTTGCAACCCCATGGACTATACAGTCCATGGAATTCTCCAGGCCAGAATACTGGAGTGGGTAGCTGTCCCCTTCTCCAGGGGATCTTCCCAACCCAGAGAATCTTCCCACCCCAGGGGTTGAACCCAGATCTTCCACATTGCGGGCAGATTCTTTACCAGCTGAGCCACCAGGGAAGCCCAAGAATACTGGAGTGGGGAGCCTCTCCCTTCTCCAGGGGATCTTCCCGACCCAGGAATCAAACCAGGGTCTTCTGCATTGCAGGAGGATTCTTTACTGTTTCCCTGTTTCCCTGGGCCAGGCAGCATTTGGCCCCTCTAAATGAAGTCAGTGTTACTGTATTAGTCAATGGAGGTTCTCTGTTATGTTGCTGATACCTCTCTAGGGGACAGGACAGTTGAATTCCAACATGAGAATTTGCCCTAGCAAAAGTATTCCAGAGAAGCTTCCTCATATGTGCTTCACAAGATTTTCCTAATTTGAGACCGGGTAAAGCCTCACAACCAGTAGGCAGATGTCATCCTTATCAATTCTATTCCCTGTAGCGTGTTGTGTTCTATAGAAATAGGACTTCTCTGAGCACTACAGAGTGAGTGCAGAGAACCCATTATCCTGAGAAGCTTCATATCTATGTTTGATGTTAAGAACTGAAATTTTAATGAGCTTGTGTACATTCCTGCTGGTGTTACAAAATGGTACAATCTCCATGGAAGGCACATCTGTACTTCTGGATAATAACTCCATGGAGGAGTATTTTGTAAGTGTTTCTGTCTCAAGAACTCTGACACCTGTGAATTGACTTCTTCAGCAACCTTTTATTTTTATCCACCATATTGTCTAAATAAGAATAATGAGTTCCATGAGTTAACACCCCACAGAGCAGAGGACAGTATAAGCTCATCATACGTATCCTTGTTGTTGTGTTCAGTCATGTCCAACTCTTTGCAACCCTAAGGACTGTAGCCCACCAAGGTCCTCTGTCTATGGAATTTTCCAGGCAAGAATACTGGAGTGGGTTGCCATTTCCTTCTCCAGAGGATCTTCCTGACCCGGGATTCAACTCATGTCTCCTGTATCAGCAGGTGGATTCTTTACCACTGTGCCACGTGGGAAGCCATACATACCCTTAACTTATGTGAAATCAAGTATTCATGCTCCACTAAAGGAAAATGAAGAACAAGTAATAAATCAGAATCATATAGGCCATTTCAGAGAAGAAGCCTACGCTGTCCCCAGGTTGAGTGTGAGATGGGAAATGGAAATATGCTATTTCCACAATAGACCTTCATTCCAATCATATGATTGTCTTACCAGGCCCAGTATGAGTCTAGAATTTAAA